GTTGTGTCGCCCGTGTGGATGGCTGGCAAAGAAAGAGGGGGGGGGGGGGAGTGAGGGGGTGGCTTGAGGTGAAAGGTGAATACACGGGCACTACAGCTCGGACTGGGCTCTGTAGCGACAGAAGCGAGGGGCGTGTGGAGTCTGCTGTTCCTGCCGGGCCGGGGGTCGCTCGGAGCAAGGAGATCCCCCTCCCGTCGCCGGAGAGGAACAAACTTAAATTCACTTTCATTCCGAGGCCACGGCCGCCGCCGCGTGGCGAAGGAGGTTTTGTGTCCTTACAGCTCCGGCTCAGGCTCCCGTCACTCACCCCCCCTCCCAAAGATTGTTCGGCGGGCTCGGCCCAACGCGCGCGCGCGCACGGTAAAAGCGACGGCTCGGAACTTAGCAAAAACTGCCACCAAGCAGCACATCTCGTTTTTGGGTGTTCAAGTCTACGAGTCTACGGGACAGCAGTCGCTTCCGAGTCGCTCTCTCACCGCACGTGCGAGCACGACAGGCGGCTGCTATGGTCGTACTACTCCTGCAGGGGTAGGGCTGGGCGGTTTTTCAATATATTGACCTCAATATCAATATTTTTAAATATTGAAACCAATATTTTAACATATTGAAGTTTTCAATATTCCGATATCAATATTCAATATTTAAATATTGAACCCAAAAGCCAATATTGAAATATTGAGTCAGATTCCCAGCCCTAAAATACTCAGTTATCGCGTGATGTTGTCCCTTTTTGTTGTATATCCTATGAAATAACCTCTTTAACAAACCCTGCGGTGCAAGAGAAGACGATTCCTGCCGCTGACAAGGCCAGAGAACAAACATACCAAATCGGAATATTCTAAATCTTCAATATTTTCAATATTTTTACGTTTCAATACTCCAATATTTTCAATATTTCAATATTCAATACAGAATATTGATATTGAAGATATTTCAATATTTTAAAATATTGGGTATTGATATTGAAATAAAAAAACCGCCCAGCCCTATGCAGGGGTGCCGTAGAGGGGCCTGCGGGAGGTGGAGGAGGTTAAATAAATCATTAGGAACTGGAAGGTCGAGCCGGCCTCTGCCCCAGTCCGACATCCGCGGAAGAAGGAGTGGGTTTTGAGTCACTCCTGCTCCCCGCTCATGCCCCCCGCTACCGTGCGAGGAGAGTCCTTGAAGCGCTTTTGGAAGGAACGCGGGACGGCGGACGGAGTCGCGAGTCGCCAGGTGTCGCCGGCGAGAATCCGAAGGTTCGTTTTGTGCGCCGGAGAGGAAAAAAAATATGGAGGGGAAATGAAAATGGGGGGAATATGGATTGTGATTGCAGGCATCCGTCCTTCATATAACTGGGGAGGGGGGGGGGACCTAGCCTCTGGCCGGTCAGCGGACACGGCTAGAGTAGCTAGAGGCCGCTCCCCATGCCATGCCTGGCTGCGCAAGGACCCAACGTCGACACTTTTTCATATTTTATCCTCACATGAACACACACACACACACACACACACACACACACACACACACACTAAGAGGGGCGAAAGGAGGAAAGAGGGGCAAGGGGGAGAGGCCAGGGAGAAATTGAGAGCATGGTATTGGGGAAGAAGAATAAGATTGATGAATCGCTTTCGCAAACGCGCGCCCCCGGCACGACTAGGGCTGGGCGGTTTTTTTATTTCAATATCAATACCCAATATTTTAAAATATTGAAATATCTTCAATATCAATAT